TATCGAACTTTCAAGCAGGAAATAGCCAAGGAAAGGATCTATGATAATACTCGGGGTAGTTCTCTACTGTTTGAGGCCAGGACGGGAGTATTGCGAACAAAGACATATCGGGCCAAATACGAAGGGGTAGGCACGATATGCAGTGCGTATGCAGAGGAAGAAGAAACTCGATAATGTTCTGTAAAGGGCTTCACTCTGTAGTTCAGGTTGATGGCGCAGAGTTTTTCAAAACAATGGGGCTTAGGGACAGTGAGGGCAACATAGTCTTTAAGCGGGTAAAATTAACTAGAAGGAGGTTATCTGATTGGTGGCTTAAGTCAAGGCACGAGTGAAAATTACACCTTTCGCTGGAAAGTGCGAATCCTCAACCTCACTATTTACGAAAAAAAATCTAGTTTTTGGTTCATTAAGTATTACGGCTTGGTGGCGCTAGCCACCACCCGATCTATAGAGTACAGCCATATCCATCCATTTATCCATCCATCCATCTATCCATCCATCCATCCGGTCTATTGTAGGGCCTGGAGGGCATCCATGCTTTGGTCGGCAAGGCGCTGAGGCTGTCGAAACTTCCGCATGGCCACTGTATCACAATGGCCATGCGGTCATGCGGTAGCTTCGAAAATCTCGACAATTTTGTCGTGTGTCTTCTTTTAGTGTCTCCATTTCTTATTGCTATTTTCAGTGCTGCGCAGCATTCTAAACGGCTGTTCTTTTTTGTGTTTGTTTATAGTTTGAAACTATCCACAAAACTAATACGTGAACTGTACAAAAAGCTCTCTGAACAGCACAACGATGAATGCAAAACGCACTTTACAAAGTAACGATGATTGATTGATTGATTGATTGATCGATTGATTGATATGTGGGGTTTAACGCGCCAAAACCACCATATGATTATGAGAGAGGCCGTAGTGGAGGACTCCGGAAATTTCGACCACCTGGGGTTCTTTAACGTACACCCAAATCTGAGCACACGGGACTACGACACTTCCGCCTCCATCGGAAATGCAGCCACCGCAGCCGGGATTTAAACCCGCGACCTGCGGGTCAGCAGCCGAGTACCTTAGCCACTAGACTACCGCGGCGGGGCTACAAAGTAATGATGGCAATCAAACAAGTAGAAGCCAAGCTGAGAGGGCAGACGAAACAAGCTAAGACCATGACGCGCGCGCCGGGCACGTTATCACACAGCGTTTATCGCGTCTGCTTGGTGCTGTCCGTACTTCTTCGTTGCCTTAAATGCTCATAAACACGGAGCATGACAACGTTGCCGTCGCGTCGACGCCATGTGCGCTTCTCTCGCATCCGAATCACGACAGACCCTACCCGAGCATGTAGTACAAGCGAGCCGATAAAGACAGTTAAGAAAGTCACAATCGCAGTCGACAAGACACATACATATAATAATACTGAGGTAGACAACTAGTACACACGTTTCCTCGAAAGCAGTGATTCATGTGTTGCCATTTTACGGCCTGCGTGAAGCTGCGTAGCGCCGCCGCTTTTGTACAGATTGACCACTCTTAATTTTTATGTGCATGTTAAAGAAACTCTAGGTGGTCAAAATTTCCGGAGCCCTCCACTACGGCATCTCTCATATTTATGTGGAGGTCTTGGAATGTTTAAACCCACATATCAAACATTATTAGGCATACAAAACGGACCTAGCAACATTTGGCCGTCACAACATTTACCTACTGGGAACGTCAAATAACAAAATAGTTGAAAAAAAGTTTCTTAAATGTTAAGAATTTCTTAGTGAACTTCAGCGACTTTGAGCATATCTTATATCTATCTATCTATCTATCTATCTATCTATCTATCTATCTATCTATCTATCTATCTATCTATCTATCTATCTATCTATCTATTGACTTCTAGCTCTCCTTGCCGTATCAATATTAGTATTGATACCAAACTTGGCGTAGCATAACATGACTGTATGACGAGCACAAGTGACTAGTGATATTATGAAAACCATGACATGCATCTCATGAATGTCATGACTTACATTTAATGGTCTTGCCGCTCTTGCGGTGATTTCCTTCACATGACATGTTGAAAAACTGGTATGGTATGACATCACTATGGCGAACAGAAGCGACAGACCTTAAGTTGAAAATCATGACATGCGTGTCATGTAACAGCATGACTAGATGCCCCACTCATGGCGCGATTGCGGCCGTTTCGCTAGCTTTGCATATACCAAATTTGGCAATACAGGAGGTGAATGGACGGCGAAGGTATATGACTGACGCAAACATGATAATAATTAAATGCGTGTCACGTAACAACATGACTACATGCCACGCTCATGATGCGCTCGCGGCCGTTTCACAAGCTTCAATTATACCAAATTTTGTGTTGCAGGACGGGAATGTATGACGAAGGTGTGAAACTGGTGTAAATATGATAATAATCAGCTGCATGTCATGTAACAACATGACTACATGCCACACTTATGAAGCGCTCACGGTCGTTTCTCGAGAATCACAAATGCTAAATTAGGTATTACGTCATGTGAATTGATGACGAAGCTGGGTGACTGGTGAAAACATGATATATATGAGATGCATGTCATGTAAGATCATGACTACATGCCGCATTCAAGGCACCAATACAATTTTACGTGACCCATAGCGCGTGTGTGTCTGGGTTCGTTTCGTCGCGTCACGGCGGCGATGCGACGCGAGGTGCCGATCCGCCTGCCATATACTCACAGGCGCGCGTCGCGCTGCGTTGCTTTGACGCATGCGCGTTTCAGCGCGCCCGGTGTTTCTCCGTCACGAAGAGAGGCAGGTGGAGTGCTGTCTGAGGAGTAACGTCATCGGCGCAGAATGCGACATGCTACATTTTGGGCCGGTTCAAATGCAGTATGTCGCATACTGCGCCGGTTGCGGCCGAGCCGCGCCGACGGAAGCTGATCGCGCAGGTCGCGTTTGGCGTTAGACTATAGGCAGCTCACGTTTTGCTAGCGTTGCGTCGCTGCGCCTAGTGTGCGCGGACGTCAACGTTACGTCGGAGTAATTAGGCCCTTCTTGATGCGCTCGCCGCCGTGTTGCTAGCTTCTTTACACCGAATTTGGTATCACGTGAGGTGAATAGACAACAAAGGTATAAATGACACCTCCAAATATGATAATCATGATATGCGTGTCATGTGAAGCATGAATACAAACTACGCTCATAACGCGCTCATGGCCATTTTGCTAGCTCAACGTGTACCAAGTTTGGTATCAGGTTACGTGAATAGATGATAAATGTAAATGACAGGTCCAAACATAATAATCATGATATGCATGTCTTGTTAAACATGACTACATGCTACGCTCATAGTACGCTCGCGGCCGTTTTCCTAGCTGAACAATATTTGTTATTACGTGACTTGAATAGACGACGAAGGTAAATAACATGTCTAAACATAATAATCGTGGCACGTGTGTCATTTAAAACTTGACTACATGCTACGCTCAAAGCATGCTCGTGGTATTTTCGCTAGCTCCACATATACCTTATTTGGTATCAGGTGACGTGAGTAGATTGAAGGTAAATGACTTGTTCAAGCATGATAATACTGACATGGAAGTTATTTACGGCATAATTTACGTCCGCCTCATTGTATCGTACTGATTGTAAAGTAAAATATCAACCTCCTTCATTCGTGCTTCGCATATCATGGATTGCAACTGTATGTGAGATCTGCCAATTTTTAAATACTTTTTCAAAAAACAAAATGAAACACTCCAACGTACACATAAAAAATAACCGTCAATGTCAATTAAATAGGAACACACAGCAGTGGTCATTTCGGCCCGTTATATTTTCTGAATGAGGCAGATGAGGGCTTATGATAGTGAAACCGTGTTTTACTGACATAAGGGCTCCTCGACTAAAAATGAATTTGTCGAAAATACGACCGCAATTTTTCGTATTTCATTTTTTTGAAAATTGGCTGTATTGAAAATTTCCTACTTTAAGCATTTTATTTTTGCTTGTGCGCTCTCTGTACGTAAACGATCTTTCTGAGAAATGTTGCAAAAGTGTTTTAGTATACAAGCCATTGTGTCGAGCTATCTGTCTAAAATATGAAATGTGACAAGGCAGATCAAAATATGGGTTTTCTCTTTATTGGGGCTGGCGTGATCGTTTTTTTACTTTGTTCCCTATTTTGAGAACATAAAAAGGTCATTATAATTATCACAGTATTGCGTACTAGAGCATTTGTGACACGACATCTGTAGTGAGGGGTTGAATTCTGCCGTGTAATATGAAAATAATTGTAGCGATAAAGAAAACTTGGCAGATCCCACGTACAGAGAAATCGATGACATGCAAGCACGAATGAGGAGGGTTGATATGTTACTTTTAAATCAGCACAACGTTACAAAGCGGACGTAAAGTATGCCGTCAATGACTTCCATGCGATGATTATCACGTATGCGCCTGGCATTAGTGTTCGTCGTCCACTCACGTCGCGCACTATTAAATTTGGTATACAGGAAGCCAGCAAAATGGCCGTCAGGGCTTCATGATTGTGGTATGTGTCATGTCCTTACATGACACGCATTTCATGATTATATTGTTTGCACTTGTCATATGGGGAGAGCTTGATGACCTCTCTAAACGTAATTGCTGACAAGCTTGTTTTACCTCGGCTTAAAAAAGGCGATATTGCATCTACGCATTGGCTGCTGGTTAAGCAAGGCAGATTACCAGGAATTATTCATTTGTCTCACAAAAGATGAGACCAGAGACATGTGGCCTAAAAATAAGAAATCACTCGCAGACTGCAACCCTCGAAGTTTTCATCAGGAAAACTTGTCTAGACAGAATAGGGAGCTTCTAAGGACTACGAAGGCAATAGCGAAGCGAAATGGCTAAAGGTTCGTTTGGTAGTCAACGGCAAGATCCTTGTTCAAAAAACCGAAGGTGCTCATGTAGTTCACATTATGAGTAAGGATGACCTTGAAGAACTGCAGAGACAGTTCACTTCAATACCTGAATGGTGCGGAATAAAATGAAATTTTACTCCACTTGCGATCTAAACGAAATTGTAGAAGCACTGGCCACTCCTTCCATCGAATGCACCCATCGAACACGCATTCTGTGAGAAACAAGACATCATGCCTAGAGGAACCATTGGCCGAAATTTCTTTTCAGTTCTCAATGATGGTGTTAAGCGAAACATGGACGAGTTCTGAATGTGATAAGTTTGGTTGCCCAATTACAATACTTGCTATTTCTAATAGGTAATACTCTCGAGGAGGCGGTGTATCATTACTGATGACGTTGACTATCAGATTCTTGATTTTTACACTGTGCTTTCGCAGAACTGTAGAATATTGACTCTATGCACTGCTAAGCATGTGTTTTCTGTGTGCTATAGACCCCCTACTGGTGACATACGAATGTTCATAAACTTCTATGAGCAATTTTCTTCATATATGGTTCAACAACATAATTCAAGAACGGTTAATAGCTAGTGGAGACTTCAATATTGACATGCGTTCCAATATCAATCATCTAGATTGTTCAATAAGGATGTTATCATCGAATGACTTTACCAACCTAATTAACATGCTTACAAGGGTCACATCCAAAGACCAGTCGACCCTGAATATATTATCACCGATTCCTTGCATTCCAGCATTAAATGTAGTGTCTTATCTTTTTCTGTCAGTGATCACTTGCCAGTACTTTTGAGTGCTCATATACGCGGCTTACGGGAAACATTTCTCTGCACTGTCTTACCAAGCAATTATAGAAAATACTTTACGATCTTTTCTGACTCTTAGCTGAAAGTTGAATGGGATGTGATAATTGAAATCACCAATGCTAGTGAAGCTTACAATAAGTTCATTGACATATTCTCTGCCCTATATCACCGAAGCTTTCTTTCTAAAACACGTAGAAAAGGTAGAAAAACCTTGAGTTACGTCTGAACTACGGGAGAAAATGAAAGTCAAGGACAAGTTGTAACATTTTCTTTACACATGACCAGCAGGTGATCTCGCCACTATTAGAAAGTACCAGAACAAACTGACTACAAATTACGGCACGCATGAACAAAGTCTCTATTTGTCATGGAAAGCCCAACCACAGTTTATTATGGTCGAGGCTAAACAGACTTTTAAATCACAGTGAGTGTCACGAACATTTACAGCACTTGCAAATCAATGGCAAAGAATTATCAGGTGTTAAACTAGCCGACGCGCTTAATAATTTTTTGCAGATATCGCACGCGCTGAATATAAGCTTCCTCAGACAAATAAATATGTTCGCACTAATAGGGAGAATTCAATAATCCTTGAACCAGTCACGGCACATAAAGTTGTCTCGATTATGAAAAGAATGAAAATTTGCACCAGTTGCGACATTAATGGTTTTTAGATGTGTCCAATTAAACATGCAGTTGAAATTATTGCTCCCATTCTCATTCATATCTTTATGGCGTCTGCAATGGGCAACTTTTTCGGAAAAAAGTGGAGGCGGCGAAAGTGACTGTTCTGTACAATAAGGGAGATCCAAATGATCTGGGAAAAACAGGCCGGTATCTATTCTTGCAATCTCTTACAAAGATATTCCAAATGTTTTGCACTCCAGAATAGTAACCTTCCTTGAGAAACACAACCAACTAACCACACCAACTTGATCTCCGTCAGAATAAATCAGCTGAATCAGCACTAGCAGATAGAAAGAATATACATTGACAGGGTTTGAAAGCAGAGCTACAGTCATTGGTATTTTTGTAGACCTTTCATAAGCTTTTGATTTGATTGACCATAAAATTGTAGTAGAAAAATTAAGCTAATATGTAATCCGACGACACACATTATGCCTCATCGAATCGTACCTATAAAACAGAACTGAAATTGTGAAAATCGACACCTTTACTCCGAAGTCAAGATCTGTTCCTTGCGTAGTACCACAGGAAAGTAATTTAGAGCCTCTACTTCCTCATATATATATCTGAATATTATCATATATATTAACCCTGGGGTAAACTTTATTGTTTATGCGGATGACACGAGCATAGTTTTCAGTGGTAATAATATTGTCATGGGGTCGTGACAACGACGAAGGAAGCAGACAGTAGGTCAAAGATTAAATTGTTTATTCAGCGGAGTTCGTGGCCACGTAAAAGGAAAATTGAGATTACAGTAAGACACAAGCACCGATATCGCCGAACTGAGCGTCGGTCGTCGATCAACTGACAAGTGGCGAAGCGCGTCGGCATTTATACACTTGCCATCGAATATTCTAGCGTTATCGCTTGCAGTGACGTAGGTTCCGGAATAATCTGTGTCGTTCCCTAAGTGGGCGTAATCTTAAAACGATCTAATAAAGCCTCGAACCTTCTTGGACATTGTGGGCACGGTTTCCTGCTGAACGTAGTGTAACGGGGTGATAAAACTTGCGGAAGAAATGCGCCATTGCCCCCCTCTAAAAAGAAAATACTATTGTCTTTAAAAAGCGTTCGTCGCCGCGATGCTTCCTGAACCTCCACGGTGTGATCATCGACTGGAGAGCAAAGTCAAAAACACTATCTGTGCGAAAAGCACTACCACCTTGCATGCCTTTAGGAAGCCGTGCCCAGAATGTGCTAGAAGAAGTCACCGTCCCTTCTCGCTCAAGCGCCATCATTTTCGTCAGCACTTCAAAACCAGAAGACTTCGAATGCATCGTTGAAGGCTATCAGCACCCATTGCTCAACCGCAATATTTGTGTTCCAAGAGGAATCGCTGCGCTACGGGGAGGGAAAACAGTTATGTTCGCAAATACGAGCAACGAGTACAAACACGTCAACAAAGGTACAACGGTCGGCGACATCGACGAAATTATGGAAATTACCAATGCTTTCGCCCTCGCCAATCCTACAGACCCTAGTCCGTGGAACGAAGCTCCTCACCCAGCTTTCGACGTCAATGCGAGCCTTCCGAAGCATAAGCAAGAACAGCTCAAGGCCCTGATCCTGCAATACAAGGACTGCTCTTCGTTGTCGTCGAAAATTTGCCAGACCACAGTCGCGAAACATCGCATATTAACAGATGAAAACGCTACACTACTACGGCAGAGCCCATATAGAGTTTCTCTGCGAGAACGCGAGGCCGTTAAAAGAGAAGTCGACGAAATGCTACGCGACGACATCATCCAACCGCTTAAAAGCCTGTGGGCGTCACCCGTGGTGTTGGTGAAGAAGAAGAACGGAACCCTACGTTTTTGCGTCGATTATCACCGCTTCAGCAAAATCACACAAAAAAAGAGATATTTATCCTCTTCCCCGGATAGTCGACGCCTTGGATCGACTCCGCAACATGAAGTACTTTTTGTCGATGGAACTCAAGACTGGCTACTGGCAAATCAGAGTCAAAGCGAGAGACCAAGAAAAAAAACAGCGTTTATAACACCAGACGGCCTTTTAGAGATCAAGGTTATGCCCTTCAGTCTTTGCTTGGCACCTGTGACTTTTCAACGCGTTATGAACACAGTGCTGGCAGGATTGAAGTGGCAGACTTGTCTCGTTTATAGACGACGGCGTCGTGTTTTTCCTCAAGCTTCGACGAGGATCTTCAGTGCCTCGAAACTGTACTTCAAGCCCACAAGACTTCCGAACTCACCCTGAAGCCAAAAAAATGCCGCTTTTCATACGGGGAACTTTTGTGTTCATGGGCAACGTGATAAGCAAGTCCGGAGTAAGACCCGATTCGCAGAAGACAACCGCCATCGCATGCGTTTCCACCGCCCGCCGACAAAAAGGTCGTGCGTCGATTTCTCATCCTGAGCGCTTATTGTATGCAGGCGCTTCGACAGATACTTCGCCCGCATCGCCAAGCCCCTCACTAACCTTACGAGGACTGACGTCGAGTTCAAGTGGAAAACCCTACAAGAGAAAGTATTTGGGGACCTGAAATGACGCCTGCAGATGCCTCTCATACTCGCGCATTTCGACGAAAACGTCCGAAACAGAATTGCACACTGACTCAAGAAGCGTAGGGCTCGGTGCCGTCCTTGTGCAGAGGACTGACTGACTAGAAAGCGTTTGTAGCGCACTCGCCCCACGGAGGCGCGAAAAGAAGGGACCTACACTCCTTGAAGTTTGGGATAAGACTAGTTTATTTTCCAAGAAAAACAGGCTTCGAAAGCGACAACCACAAAGGGCGTGGCAGCGTATCTTCCGTGGCCCTCCGGAGATAACGTGAGTCATGTTGGCGGCGTCTGCGGCGTGCGCCTCGGCATACGAATTGGTATGCGCACACAAATAAAATTATCGCGATCACCGGCGTCATCGCCCGCTACAAGGGGTCCCCCCCTAGACCGCGGTGCCTGGGATAAAAGAACGAGCAAGTGTGCGAGTTAGTCCATGAGGTGAGCCGGTTTCACGCGATCGAGAGAAACGACGTCCTCTCTGTCGCGAACATGAATGGTGACAGTTTTGTGCGACCGCGAAAGCACACGGAAGGGCCCGTCGTACGCCGGAGTCAAAGGCGTTTTCACTGTGTCACGTCTCAACGAACAAATGGGTTGCCTCATTTATGTCTAGGAAAGAAAACACTCTTTGGTTGCAGCTGACACGTGGTGCGGTGGGTTGCAGGTGCTCCAACCAGGAATGCAGCCTTTCCATATGTTCTGAAGGCGTAGGCGTAGCGCTTGGTTTCTCACCGAAGAATTCTCCCGGTAGTCGGATTGCAGAGCAGTACAGCATATCTGCTGCACAGAATCCGAGGTCTTCTTTTATCGCCATACGCAGGCCCAGAGGAACGAGAGGGAGCTTCTCCATCCAGTGCTCTCTATCCAATTTGGCCGTTAAAGATGCCTTAAGTTGACGGGGTAGCCACTACACCATTCCATTGCTCGCTGGATGGTAAGCCGTAGTGTACTGGCAGCCGTGTTCCCAGAAGCCTTGCCAGCGCAGAGAATATGTTGCTTTGGAATAGTCGTCCACAATCGGTCGTTATGCGCAGTGAGCAGCCATAGCGTACAACCCATGTGGCCACAAACGCTTGTGCGACGGTCCCGGCTGCGATGTCCAGAATCGGGCGTCGCCTCGGGCTACCGTGAGTAGCGGTCGACACAAGTGAGCAGGTATCTGTAACTCTGGGAAGGATGAAGAGGTCCCACCAAGTGCCAAGTGCACATGGTTGAAACGACACTCTGGTGGCCGAAATGCTTGCAGTGCTGTCTGCGTGTGACGAGTCACCTTGACTGCTCAACATGTTCGGCACGTATTCGCCCAATGTCGAACGTCGGCGTTAATTTCGGGCCACACAAAGCGGTCAGGGACGAGCCTCTGCGTCGAGCGGATTCCTGGGTGGCTGAAGTCGTGAAGGCTGTCAAACACTGCACGCCGAAACTGAACGGGGACAATGGGTCTTGGAGATTTCTGCGAAGTGTCGCATGTGACCTTAGTCGTCGTGTAGGGTAGCGGGATCTCTTCGAGCAACAGTGACAGTGGATTCTGCCTTATCTCGGTTAGCTCTGGGTCTTTCCGCTGGGCGGTGGCTAATGTCTCAAAGTCGATGGACGCTGAAACGTTGTCGATACGGGAGAGTGCGTCAGCTGCTTGGTTTTCGCTCCCCGCTATGTGGCGGATGTCCGTGGAAAATTCGGAAATGAAAGAAAGTTGGCGCGGTTCTCTTTCCGAATATGAGGAACTGTTGTTCTTGAGCGCATACGTCAGCGGCATGTGGTCCGTTAAAATGTGGAAAATGTGGCCTTCTAGGAAGAAACGGAAATGCTTTACGGGGGAATAAATGGCCAGCATCTTTCTTGCAAAGGTGCTGTAACGCACTTTCGCCGTTTCCGACGTTTAGAAAAGAAACCTATCGGTTTCCAGTCCTGGCTGTCGTATTGTTGCAACACTGCTACAATCGTTGAAGCGTAGACTATGAGCCGTGTTGGTGCGTCGAAAAGCGGGTGTATCAGATGTGTTGCGGAGGCAAGCTGAGTTTTCGCGTCCTGGAAGGCTTTTTCGTGCTCCTCTGACCAGTGAAACTCAGCTTTTTCTTGCCGTCCCGGCGCAGCAAGTCAGTTAGCGGCTGTAGAATGTGTGAAGAGGAGAGATGAAGCGCCTATGGAAGTTGATTAGCCCGAGAAACTCGCGCAACTTGCGGAAAGAGGTAGGCGTGGGGAATTTCCTGACTGCATGCACCCGTGATACGAGCGGCAAGATGCCTTGCGGGCTGATTCGATGACCTAGGAAATCTAGTGCTTTAACCCGAAAGATGTACTTCTGAGGCTTCAAAACCAGACCGTGCTCGTCAAGACGCTTGAAGAGGAGGCGGAGGTGATTTTCGTGCTCCTCCGGCGTTTTGCTGGCGAACAAAATGTCGTCTAAGTAGACAAAAACAAAGAGCAGTCCGCGAGTGACCTCAGTCATGAAACGCTGGAACGTTTGTGCCGCGTTCTTCAGTCCGTACAGCATACAAACCAATTCATAGAGGCCGAAAGCGTTGTCAAGGTCGTCTTTGGGATGTCGCTTGGTTCTACTGGAATCTGGTGATAAGCGGCCATCAGATGCAGCTTAGTGAAGATGGTCGTTCCCGCGAGGCGAGCGCTGAAAGCATGGATGTGGGGGAGAGGATATTGGTCTGCCGTTGTCACAGCATTGAGTGCCCGATAATCACCACATGGCCGCCAGTCACCACACTCTTGCTTTGGCACCATGTGCAGCGCGGAAGACCAGTTGCTGGAAGAAGGTCGAATAATGCCGAGTTGGAGCATGTGGTCGAACTCACGGCGGGTGACTTCGTGTCTTTGTCCAGCGAGTCTCTTAGGTCTAGCGGTGACGGGCGGTCCGGTGGTGACAATGTGATGCGACACCTTGTGTTTCATTGGCAATTCGGAGTTCCGAGGTCTGGTGATTTCAGGGAATTCAGCCAGAATCTTTTGAAAGTTTGACTCTGGGTTGAAAGTGCAAATGCCACATGAGGACAGGTCAGACTTCAGTCCGATAACAGCGAGCGAAGTGACGTTATCCTTGAGACGACGATGACGAACGCTGTCGTCAACACTGAAGTGGCTCAGAAAGTCCGCTCCCAGGATGGCAATTCTGAGCTGGGGCACAATCAAGAACTATCCATATATACGCCTGAGTCCGATGTCTATTGCCATTGACTGGAGTCCATATGACGCAATAGCAGTATTATTGAGTTCAATTAGGCTCGAAATGGACTTGCCGCCCCGGTGATGTTGAGCTGCTGCTGGTAGGATAGATAGCTCCGCTCCGGTATCGACAAGGAGGCGTGTGCCGGTGATGCGGTCGACAACGAAGAAGAGGTGGCTTCTACGATGGCCCGTGTCGCTTTCCGCCGTAAGCGACTGGCCGGTGCGTTTCCCGTCCACGAGCATGAATGGGTGCAGCGAGTGGCTTGCTCTCTAAAACGACGGTGGTACCAGCAGATGTTCTGCTCTGCCTCGCTTGAGTGTCCGCGGTGCTGTGGGCTTCGAGTACGGGACGGCGAACGATGCCGTGCCGGCCGGTGTTTGTTGGACAGGGCGAGGTTTTCAACTGCTGCAGCCAGTCGGTCAACTCTGTCTTCTAAGCGACCTAACTGGTCTGCATGTTCGTACCTTCCCATTGCGGCAATAGACATTTTTGGTGGCTCAGTGCAGTCGGTGATGCGGTCGGCGAGTTGACCCAGACGTTCGAGAGTCACGTCATCCGAGCCAGCGAGTATCATCTGTGTTGAGAGTGGCAGTCTCTGCAAAAACAACTCGCGAAGCAATGGATGTCGACGCTCCTCTGACACTTGTTGGCCCAGCAGCTGACGCATTCGGTGGAGTAGTGAGGGACGTTGGTCACCGAGCTCTTCATGAGACAGGAGTTGTTGCAGCCTGCTTTGTTCGGACACCTCAAGGCGTTTCAGGATGGTGCTTTTTAGTTCGTCATAGGGCTTCTCCGATGGAGTGGAGGCGAGCACATCGTCTAGGGCGTCAGCGATGTCAGGTGGCAGTGCTGAAACGACGTGCAGGTATTTCGACTGCTGCGATGTGATGCGTCGAAGTTCGAAGTGGGCCTCGATTTGGCTGAACCACACCCTGGGGTTTTGGGGCCAGAAATGAGGAAGCTTTAACTCCGAGGCGTTGGTTGTGGGTGAGCTTAAAGTGCCTTCCTCGTCTGACATGGCTGCTGTTTTTCCAAACGTCCGGGTCACCACTTTGTAGCGTACTCGCCCCACGGAGGCGCGAAAAGAAGGCACCTACGCTCCTTGCAGTTTGGGACAAGACTAGTTTATTTTCCTAAAAAACAGGCTTCGAAAGCGACAACCAAAAGGGGCGTGGCTGCGTATCTTCCGCGGCCCTCCTTGATAACGTGATAACGTGAGGCATGTTGGCCACGTCTGCGCCGTGCGCCTCGGCATACGAATTGGTATGCGCACACAAATAAAATTATCGCGATCACCGGCGTCATCATTCGCTACAGGTTACTACTTACGCTAGCCAGTCGCTATCCAAGGATGAAAGCAATTATTGCACAACCGAAAAGGAGTACCTTGCCATTATCTGGGCAACGTCTAAGTTTCGTCCTTACCTCTACGGCAGGCCCTTCAAAGTTGTGAGCGACCACCGCGCCTTGTGTTGGCTAGCTAGCTTGAAGGTCCCTTTAGTTCGCCTTGGGCGATGGAGCCTGAGATTTCCAGGATACGACATTACCGTCATTTACAAGTCTGGCAGAGGTGGGTGCATCACAATATCTGCAGGCAGTGGCTAAGCGGCAGCAATCGTTGCAGCCGTGGTCGTCATGGTGGACGTGCCAGTCTTGTTAGGCAAAGGCCCGTACTCCGGCGGTAAACCTTGTTGCCTACGGCTGACTCGCTGGCCGTGGTTGGCGTCGGTGTGTTCTCTACGACGTAGACCTGGTTCATGGCTGGAAGGAGGCGTGCGGTACATGGGTAGGGAAGCACCTTCATCAGATGTCATCGGGTCGTGACAACGACGAAGGGGTCAGACAGTAGGTCGAAGATTAAACTGTTGCCCCGACATGATGGACTAGTGGCTAAGTTACTCGGCTGCTGACCCGCAGGTCGCGGGATCAAATCCCGGCTGCGGCGGGTGCATTTCCGATGAAGGCGGAAATGTTGTAGGCCCGTGTGCTCAGATTTAGGTGCACGTTAAAGAACCCCAGGTGATCAAAATTTTCAGAGCACTCCACAAAGGCGTCTCTCGTAATCATACTGTGGTTTCGGGACGTTAAAGCTCATATATTAATCAATCGGATCGAACAGTTTATTCAGCCGAGCTTGTGACCACGTAAAAGGAAATTAACATTACAGCAAGACAATGGCGCTGATATCAGCGAACTGAGCGTCGGTCTTCGATCAAATGACAAGCGGCGAAGCGTGACGACATTTATACTCTTGTCATCGAATATTCTAGCGCTATCGCAAGCGGCGACGTAGGTTCCAGAATAATGCGTGTCGTTCCCGAAGTGGGCGTAATCTTAACAAAATGGTCAACTAAAGCCTCGAAGCTTCTCGAAGATCGTAGGCATTGTTTGCGCTGAACGTAGTGTAACGTGGTGATAACAAAACTTGATGAAGGAACGTGGCAATATTAATGATATATAAAACAATTACTATACAATGAAAATTGTAGAGTGGCCTGCCTTAAATCCGATGGAAAAGAAGCAGGCAAGACAACAGCAGCCATATTCAGGCCAAAAAACTCGCGCATACGTTCACATCAAAACCATATGTTACATTCCCAAAGTGTTGAACTTACTGAAAAATTCAAATGTTTGGTGTTATCTTTTTTGCCAATATGTCATAGAGTAATCTGTTAATTGCGTCCTAAGTAAAGCAAGCAAAATCACAGGTGTAGTAGGCTGCTTACGCTACATTCTTCCCACATGTGCCAAACTTTGACTACATTATTCACTTTTTCGATCACATTTAAACTATTGTGTATTAGTATGGGGTAACATGACACACACTAATAGAAATTGTATTTTCTCGTTACAAAAACGTATCCGCCGGCATGCATACAATGCTTCTTACACAGCAGACTGGATCACTATTGGAACATAAACAACATGTGTAGTCTTGCCTAAGTTCAAAGAGAAACTCTAAGTTATGGTAGCAGACACTTAGAGAAGTGGTTAATACCAACACCGCGTTCAAACTTTGGAAAGCAGATGCTTCAGTACACAATACTTGCACTATTAAACGGCTATAAATCATTGCAGTTTGATCTTCTTACGGCTTCCTTCAAAGAACCGAAAAGGGTGTATTTGGTTTCTGCATAGATTCATCTGCAATGTTGACACATCTGTGATTTTGTTGCCTTTCACAAGGACAGTGTGTGTTGAAATGTGTTAAAGCACTAGTATATGCCCCTGTATGTATAAATGCGTGTGTGAACGTGTGTGGGGCTTTGTGTTTGCATAATATATATATATATATATATATATATATATATATATATATATATATATGTGTGTGTGTGTGTGTGTGTGTGTGTGTGTGTGCGTGTGTGTGTGTACTGCGCTTGTATCTAATGTTGCCTCACTCCCAAATACAAAGTGTAGTTAGTAAAGCTTTCTGGATACAGCTTTTTTTTTTCAAGAAATCCCCCATCTGTATTTCAAAAAGATGGCAAATAAACTTATTATTTTTATCATATTTATTATAAACTTTCGTCACCATTTACATCACGTAATACCAAGTTTGGTATATGCGAAGGTATGATACGGCCATTAGCGCTTCACGAGTGTACTATGTTGTCATATTCTTACATGACACACATTTAATGATTATCATCTTTGCACCAGTAATACACCTTTGTCATCAATTCACGTCACGTAATACCAAGTTTGGTGTATGTGAAGCCAGCGGAACGGCCGTGACAGCTTCATGAGTGTGGTATGTTGTCTTGTTCTTAAATCACACGCATCCCATGATTACCATGTTTGCACCAGTTATATACTGTCATCCACGTATTCACGTATTCACGTCCGGTAATACGAGTTTGGTATATGTGAAGCTAGCTAAACGAGCGCGTGCACACCATGAGCGTGGTGTGCAATCATGATTTACATGATATGTATTTCACGATTTCTACATTAGGGTCTGTCACTCATGTTCGCCATGCCATGTCCACCCATATCAGTTTTGCACTATGTCATTTGAACGAAACAACAGCAAGAGCAGCAAGACCATGCATGCAATGTCAATCATGACATTTATCACATACATGTGATTTTCGTGTTATGACTAATCGCTTACGGTCGTCATACAGTCATGTTATGCTATACCAATTTCGGTATTGATACCATTATGCCAGGAGAGCTAAAAGTCGTAGAGGGCTAGATAGATAAATAGATACGCTCAAAGTCGCCCAAGTTCTCCAAGAAATTCTTCGCACATAACAGCAGGTAGCCTGAGCCGCCAGTTATTTTCTGAGCACTCAGAGAATTTTCGGGTAAAAAAATTTTTGGTACTTTGCACTTGCCATGTGCCCCTGTAAGGTAAGCAAAGGGGACTAAGTTCGTTACACTTGGTATGCGTCCCATGTGAAGAGAAAGGGGCGCTGAGAGACGACGTGGTAAAAGATACACATGACGTTTATGACAGAACACGGAAAGAAAGCTAAAATAAAGGTACGTGAACACTGAGACTAATGCTGAATGAGGGAACAACTATTATGAGTTCTTTAAGGAAAGATGTAGCGGTGTGGTGGAAGGCCGGATGGACGCTGAGGTGCAGGGTGGGAGGTGGCGAAAGACGCTGTGGAATCTGGCTCGCGTCTCGATGTGCGACGCTGTGGCAATGATGGCGCTTGATGGCTTGGGTGCAACTACGGACGCAGTCCACATGCATCGGAAACGTGATGCTCCATGCACGCAGGAGTGGCAAGCCCGTCCATCGAACAGCTTGCATCGAGACGTGATGCTTGGCGCAACGGTGATCATTGGTCAGACCACGTCCATCGCTGTGCTTAATGGCTGACCGCGGAGACGCCTCGCTGAGATCCGCGATACCCTCGGCAAACAACAAAATTTGGGGACCCTTAAGCTTCGAGTTGAACGCGATAGCGAAATCTGGCCCCTAGTGTGCTCTTCAACCGCTAGGTGCATAGTTATTAATATGTTTTTTTACATACACACAAGCACACACACGCACACAGTAGATTGTACCAGCGAGTGCCATTATCCCCGATTAGGCTCGTTTTCGTCGTGAGACCTGTCGAACAAACCGCGTTAAAGGGGCCCTTAAACACTCATTCAAGTAACCATAAAATGAATTCACCAGAAGAGCCTATTGCCTCATGAATTCGACGCCACAAAATTTAAGAATCCGTCCAGGTCGAGTGGAGTTCAAAAGGTTTGTCGCCTGCTGCAATTGTATTATCTCTTCTCTCGTCCTGACGAAATCACTGGAAGCTAGGCAGGAAGGTGTGGCAAAGGCAAAGGAACTACCACGGTTCGTGACCTCGAGAACTTTTTTTTCTTTGAATGGGTGGCTTTTTTAGTGTGATTGCGCGCGCGCGTGGACAAGTAACGGCGTCCCACGGTGATCTCGGTAACTTGATATGTCGGTCACAGACGCACAGACGGTTTTTCGCTCGAAACCAACGGGGCCGACGCCGGAGGCGGGATTTCTGTGACATGAGCTCTTTAACGCTGTCGCGTTAAATCAGTGGGCCAGGCCGCGCCCCTAGATGGAGATACTCGTGCCGGCACCGCTGCCCCGGCTGGTGATTAGGCGGCAGCAGCGTGGACGGCCACGTTCCCCTGCTGGAACCTGGATCACCGGACGTCCGACGCTGCAACCCGCTGGCTTCCGTCTGCCGCTGCTTCGGCTCATTCCCAGCCACAAAGCTTCCCTCCACGTATTCTTCACATGTGTTTCAATCGTGGCGCACAACCTCCATGGGCCACCACAAGGTATTGGCTGATTGGTTGACTTCAGGTGCACAGCTGGTTCGAAAACACATGCGGCACCTCAATCGTCGTCGTCGTTTTCTTCACACATCACAACACGCATAAGTCATAGAAAACCATACGTTTCCCATAAAATAAGACTAAATGAAGATATCTAGTGGAGACTTCTGTAGGATTTTTCGTAGGATCACCCTGATACCACACTAGTGACCAGTTTTTCAATATAGAATCTAACTAATCCTTGGTATGATCTGCTTGCAGGTTCTCCGGAAAATGGCGGCGATGATTCGTGCTTGCGAACAACGTGCCGCTTTGGCGCCGAGTGCCACAGTGATCGGGGCCAGGCCTACTGCCGCTGCCGGCTCTCGTGCGCTGACCAGCTGTTCGCCCCAGTGTGCGGTTCTGACGGCTTCACTTACTCGTCCGAGTGCCGGCTGCGCATGACCGCCTGCATCCGGCAGAAGAGGATCGTCGTCGCCCACCAAGGATCATGCGGTAAGCTACGTCACACACTGGAACTGATCGCTTGCGACAACCTAAGAATGAAATTTAAGTGTACCACTGTCCATTTCAATATGCGCGTTCAACTGCAGCCGCTCATTACTATGACGTGACCCGCAGGTCGCGGGTTTGATTCCCGGCTGCGGCTGCTACATTTCCGATGGAGGTGGAAATGTTGTAGGCCCGTGTGCTCAGATTTGGGCGCACGTTAAAGAACCCCAGGTGGTCGAAATTTCTGGAGCCCTCCACTACGGCGTCTCTCATAATCATATGGTGGTTTTGGGACGTTAAACCCTACAAATTATCATAATCATTACTATGACGTATGAGTCACGATGAACCAATAACAAATTTAGCATGATGTTCTTCAAACGCCTCCTCTAGAAAGATGCCGGCCGCATGAGAAGAAACACAGCTGCCACACCCTTTCCTTCTTTTATTTTAAAATGTTTTCGTTCGCTAGCGTCACCTGTGGCGGACGGTGCAACAACGCAACACTTTTTCATAGCCTCCGAAACAGTGGTGCACGATTGCAGGTCTCGAACAACTCTCGACTGACGCACCCCTATGGGCCGCAGATGAAAAACGCTTAATTGGTACCGCCCGCCGCCATGATGATGGATGGATGGATGGATAGATATGGCTGTACCCTTTATATCGGGCGGTGGCTAGCGCCACCAAGCCGTAATACTTAATGAATCAAAAACGAGATTTATTTTTTCCCCGAAATTGTGAGGTTGAGGATTCGTACTTTGCAGTGAAGGGTTCGATTTTCACACGTGCCTTGACTTTAGCCACCAATCAGATAACCTCCTTCTAGTTTATTCTACCCGCTTAAAGTCTATTTTGCCCTCACTGTTCCTAAACCCCAGTGCTTTGAAAAACTCTGCGCAATCATCCTGAACCATAGGATGAAGCCCTTTACAGAACATTATCAAGTGTTCCGATAGTGTCGGTCGCGAGCGCCACTGCGCGGAGCTTGTTGAAAACTGGAGGCAGGCCAACTCCGCTGGGAGCGCGAGCCATTCCTCAGGCATCTTTCGAGAGGAGGCGGCAAGAGGCCGCTACACCGAGACTATCAGGCGTCCAGTCGGTTTTCTGTGATGTTTCTTCGTCAAAAAATTGCCCGCAGCGTCCCTCGGGGGAACACTGAGGAGGATGCGGACCATATAATTGGTTAACGGGGTGTTAAAGTGCGACTTACTTGGGTCGATGGCTAAATTGGTTAACGTGGTTGTGAAATGGGGTGTTAAATTGCGACTTACTTGGGTCGATGGCTAAATTGGTTAACGTGGTTGTAGGAGGGGGTGTTAAATGAGTGAACACGTACACACGTATGCGAAAGGGCGGCGCTGGTCGAAGGGACGTCGATCATTGTGTTTGTGGATTCGTTGGAATTCATTCCACCGCGACCTTGGACGTCGACGCGCCGTACAAACCAACCGACGAGCGGCAACTGAGCGAGCGAGCGCCGACCTTGAGTATATATACAGCACAACGGCGCATGCACTGTCAGCTGTTGAATGTTCTCGAAGCGCGACGCCACATGCGCGTCCACTGGAGAATCAGGAGAATTGTAGATGTCGAACGCGGTGTGTGGAGGAGGATGGGTGCACAGATGGTGGAGGAGTGAAGCGCGCGCGGTGTGTAGAGGAGGAAGGGATGCACAGATGGTGGAAGAGTGGGCGACGGCGCATGCGCGCGCGTCAGCTGTCGAATGTTCGAGAAGCGGTGCGGACGGCGCACTACAAGGCGCGAGTATAAGATGCTTCCGCATCTAAAACCAGCCAGTTCATCCACTTGCCTTCAGTATCATCCTCATTGGCCGTCATTCAAATGCTGGCGTTCATGACTTTGCGATGTTTCGAGTGCACCGGAGCGGCACCCAACACGCGTTCCGTCGGTTTGGCAGCGTGAACCAGCAACACGGCGTCTATTTTGTGCGTCGCTAGGATGACCACTCTCAACGTCTGTCGTCGTGTTCGTTCGTGTGCAGTAATGTGACGGTGAAGTCTGAATGCGCGCGTGTGTGTTCTGTGCAATGTGCGCATCTTACCGGCGGCAAAAAGTGTGGCATCAGCGTTGCCGCATGTGCGTGTGTGAGTTTGTTACTTCGGTGTCGCAACATAAAAAAATTGATCGGTTGTAGTGTGCGCTGTGTTGTGCACCCATAAGAGTGTTGTAAGTGCGGGCGAGGTGTGAAAAAAAATGGCAGCTTATCCACGGACTGAATGAGGGAGAGTGGGGCAAAGCATTCATCCGTCCATGCGTCAGTCTGTGTGACCGTTCATGCGTCTGTTCGTGCGCCCGTCCCTGCGTTCGTTCATGCATCCGCCCCTGCGTCCGTTCATGCGTCCATCCATGCATCTGTCTGTGTGTCCGTTCGTGCATCTATTCAACACTCCAAGTCCCACCATCTCGCATCTTTTCATCATATATTCCCCATATAGAAGCACCGCCATTCAGTGGACATTCCAAGGACTAAACGAGAGGTGGCACACGCACACTTTCTTACGGCTTGCGCTTCGGGTCTACTTCCCACCTTCAACCACCTTGAGTTCATGGTATATACTAGTTCACTGTATTCATGTTACTGCGGCCCAATGCTCGCTAAACCTTTCTAAAACCAAGGAGGTTACGCCCAGCGAGTATAACGTAGCAACCTTTTTCTGTCAGATAGAGCTCAATGTGCATGCCAGTGGCTGCTAATGTGAAATGAGAGACAGGAGGATTCAGCTTTTAATTTCTTACGGCTTGCGCTTCGTATCTGCTTCCCACTTTTAACCACCTCGAATTCATTCATGGTATATACTAGTTCATTGTATTCATGGCCCTGCGGCTCAACGCTCGCTAAACCTTTCTAAAACTAAGGAGGTTACACCCAGTGAGTATAATGTAGCAACCCTTTCTTGTCCGAGTGCTCAATGTACATGCCAATGGCTGCTAATGGGGAGCGCAGCGTGCGCGTTGACTAAAAGCCGAATGCTCCTATCTGCCATTCTTCATTAACAGCCATTGGCATGTACATTGAGCACTATTTTTTTGGTAAGCAACGCACAGACGAAATATCTCACCGGCACCACTTCGGAGGTTAAATGTTGTACGTATTTCGGGTATGTGCCACTGGTGGTTACGTACTACGAGGGACGCACAAGCCACGCCATAAGGAGCTTCGCCCCTAAAACGGAACTGAGAGGACCTGCCTTCGTCACACAGTACAAGAGTTAACAAACCAGGTGTGCAGAATATATGCATTGGTGTATGTATTAAAAAGGAATTGTGGTCTTCATGTGTGTTTAATTATTTTTACGTGTGCCCAGTCGGTACAGCTGCGTCATCTTAACGGAATCTATCACCACTGGCTCATAATTACGGGCCACATTGAAGTGTCCGTTGCGTAAGCGCTCGTCTCGTGCGTAACGTACTAACGCCTAGCATGAAAAACACTGTGCGAAGGTTCTTCACACCGGGAAATGACGCGAGCTATATAATATTGCTCTATCGATCGTTAACGACGCAGCGGTCACGATCAGTCACGATCAGTTACATGAATTGTGATCGCCACTGCAGCGATACCACGAAAACTGTGGTGGAGCGAAAATAAAAAGAGAGTGAGTGAGTAAAAACTTTATTGAACATGTTCGGCGTCATTGAGCGAGGGTGGAGCTACAAGCACCCCGGCCTAGGTGACGGCCTCGAGTCTTTGGACACGGGCGGCATCCTGGGCTTGCCGGACGGCCCACAGTTGATCGGCAAGGTCGTGGCTGAGTAGAGCCGCCTCCCATCGCGCCTCGTGGTTCGAGACTGCCCTGTCTACCGGGTTCGTAGGGGACTGCTGCGCGTTACCGATACACTTCCACAGCATGTGCTGCAGCGTCGCTCTGGCTCCGCACGCCTTACACGCGTCGGACGTATAAATGCCTGGGTAGCAGAGGCGAAGGATCACCGGATTCGGGTACCTGTGTGTCTGTAGTTGTCTCCAGGCAACCTGCTGTTTCTTGTTTAGTTTGGCGTGGGTGGTGGATATTTGCATCTGTTCAGTCTGTAGTGTTGCGTGATGTCTCTGTAAGTGGTCATGCGATCCCCCCACGTCCATTCCCGCATCGCTGTCGAAGTGTGCGAGACATCGGGACTGTCGGCAGGCGTCGCAGCTCGGCGTGTAAGTACTCGCGTCCTCGAGAATAAAAAGAGAAGCATTTTGTTTTTTAAGACATTGTATCATCCTTCACGATAGCATATTAGGAAGTTTTACATTTTGTTTTCTTTTTTAATTTTGCCTATATTGCGCGCATGTATTACGCACAGAGATTACTTGTTTATTTTAAAATAGAGTCCCACGAAAGGAAAGATGGATGCATTGCACTCTCCTGTGAAAGCAAAGTCTGGCACGCAATCCACTCGTATTTTCCGGAGAGAGGAAACCTCTCGGCCTGCACAGACACACGTTTTCACGGACACATTCATTGAAGGTAGTGACCCCAGTTGCAGCAAAACTAGGCGCCGCTTTGAAAAAGTTGAATATTCAAGGCCTGACGGGGTGATGGCAACACCACGAAGTGCAAGTTGTCGAAGCAAGGAAAAATTTCAGCTACAGCTTTTACTCACCGCCACTTTAGCGCCGTACATCTCCTAGGCCATTAACTTGAAGACAACGTATGCAATGATCCCTACTATTAGGCACAATGTGCGCTACATGCTTTTATTTCGATGAAACATTGGCGTTTACCTCAAAGACGATGACAAGCGTGACGACGCGAGACGCTTATTGGGTATATAAGGCAGCGCAAGAATCAAAATTCACGAAGCAAATCTAAAATCGCCTCTTTATTCTTCGCTTTTAGTAATAGTGGCCATAGTTTCGCAAGACACCGAAGAAACCCGGGGTGAATGTTTTGTAATAAAATTGCAAGCAACCTAATAAAATGTGTTTATTGTCTCTCTTTGATTTTGTGATACCGCAAAAGAACTATTTCTTATGTAACGAGAGCATTGGA